GGGGAGTGAGTGAGCGGCTGTGTGGGGCTTAGTTGCTGGCTGGGGTTAAACCACAACACATGCTCTTAAAAAGAAATACCGCAAGTACAAAAATATACCTTAGAGAAACTGCAGGGGATAGATGAGACAGCAGAGAATTGAACTAAGTTGCCAGAAATGTCATTAGAAAATTACTTCCCACACAAATAACTGGAGCTCATGGGATTTAAATTGCTCAAAAATAAACTTCTTAAATTCAATCACTAAAATTTCCATGACACAAGGATTCCGATGTTATGAAGTCCTGAGGTTACCTGACCACGAAGAGGGCATGGAAATTTATCTCTCTTCAACAGGCTCACGGAAAAGCAAAGCTGGACACGCAAACCTCTGCAGAAGGACACTTACACGCCAAACTAACGGGGTAAAACAAAACAAGGAGTTTGTGTGGGACACAGAATACTATGACCCACGCAGGAGGGTTAATAACAATATCTAATTTTAGCCTAGAATAAACTCTAGTACCTGTAATATTTTGCATTAGTATTCCTCTGGTCAGCTTATTTTTAGCAGCTAGCCGTGTCCCTTAAACGCCAGTCTGGTATAACCCTGCTGCCAGTGCAGTCAAATGGTCCACCTCTGTATCACCAAACAGCCTGGTTACGGGCTCCAAACCCTGACCGGGCTGAGGGCAGGGACAGAGAGCGTGTTACCTGCAGAGAATATAACTGTTCTCTCATGAGGCTGGTTAAGGCAGGCTAAGGAAGAAGAGTTATCAGCAACGATGTCTGTATCTACTGTAGACTCTTCTTAGATAAGCACTGCAAACAGATATCTAATACTTCCCACTCCAGAAAGAATTAGGAATTTTTAAGCTCTAATTCAAAGCCGCTTGTACAAATTTTCCAACAGCAAGCGTAAGCCTATCCAGAATTGTGTCTTTTTTCACAATGGACAAGCACTCAGCACAAACAACTTGTGAATGCCACCTACAGCCATGCCCACTGGACTTCCCAACACAAGAGCCAGGACAATTTTCCTTTATGTTCACCAAGTTCAACATCGTAGCCAAATTCTGCAACTTAACCACCAAGTTTGTAAATACTACTCTGGAGGTCACTTGTAACAGAGACTCCTCTCTTTCTACAAGCACTGCAATGCTTTCTGAGATATCTAACCACCCCCAGTGCACAAGCTGAGTGTCCAAACTCTTCAGTCTTATCAGAAAATAAGACTAGAAAACATGACCGGCATTATTAGGCCCAGTCACCTTGCCCTCTAGAAGGTTAGAACAGAGTTTGCATAAAGTAAGTTGGAGATGTCTCCTCCTAACCACTGGCTGGTTGCTTCGGAACAGCCCTGGCACAGACTCTGGTGGCGTTCTCCTCACCTGGATGCTTGGTGAATATCGGGCTTAGCAGAGCTGACCAAGTTTGCTTCACCACAGGTATAACACAGCTGAGCTCAAAGCATCCTGAACAGGACAGTCTCTACTTGACCTTTATGCAACAGGGCTTCTGCAGGAGAACTTTAAGAAGATAATCTTGGGGTCTAGAGGCAGAAGAAACTTTGTGGCAGCAGGGACTATTATTGCCTGGTGTCTAGCAAGGTAAAGAAAGCAGGCAATTAACCAGCTGGGAATCCCCGGGAGGGGTAAATACCTGTGTGCTACTGCAGATAACGGCAAGGAATACCCCTGCCAGAGCCAACTTCAGAACGTGGAATTTGGTGAGTTTTGGCCATAGTCACTTGAGGGTGATGAATTGAGGAATACCCTCCAATGACACATTTCACAGACTGCTTTGAAGCATGGCAGGGGATTGTAAAGAGAGTGAAAGGGACACAAGGCAGTCATTCTCGTTTACTCTTCCTGATGTATTTTGTACCTTAAACATCATCTGTGGTTTGTCTTTTAAGGCAGCAAGTTCCTTGAGGCAGGTACCATCACACCTCCTCTGGGTGATGCGTACTGCCAAGCACTCGGATTTCACTTAGAATAATTACATGATAAATTATAATACTAATTTTAAGTTAAGAAGTATTCAAAATGCTACTTCTTCAAAAGCTGTTACGTTAACTGATGCGTACATGTATTGAACAAGGAAGGCTACCGAAACACTTCTGGTCAAAGTTGCTGGTGTCTGTGCAAAATATATGCACACACATACGCACGCATATACTGCCTCGCCACTGGGCAACGTGAACAGGTTTTCTGTTTACACCAACGATCAGAAGAGAGGGTAGTCATAGAAAGCTGTGACGGTATTACATCTGGTGTCAAGAAGGCTTTCAGTGACCCTTCCCAAATGCACACACATTGCTTTAGACAAGGGACTTGAGAAAATGAACTTTGGCTTCTAGCTGCCTCTGGGGAAGGTTTCACCTTCTGCTGGAGGCCCAACAGGGATGAGCCCGCACAGGGCGTAGGACTTGCTCATCCTGCACGCGTGTGAATGCTTTGCAGAGATTTGCTTTTCACACGCTACTGAAAACTTGCGGCTCTCTCAAGTAATGAGTTTCAACTACATCAACTTAGAGAAAAATCTGCTATAAAGATAGCATGGGGTTCTCAGCTTTTACTACATGTAATATAATACATGTAAATAAGAAACATTATATATCCTCCTTCCAGACCTTAGGTGCTACAAAATGGTTGTTCATTCTTTTTTGCTGTAACGCCCAAATTCTGCAAATGCAAAGCTTCCTCAAACTAACAATACAACTGTTTTCCTTTGAAGTGCAATTTCTTCTTAGAAAAACAGGATTCAACAAAGTTCATGCTTCATAATTACCAAAGCTGTCGTAAAACCATTCTACATCAAAACTGATACCCACTTAAAATAAAGTGATATGCTGTTCTATTTATGAAGATGAAAACGTCAGGAGCTCACTTAACTTTTGATAACAACAATTCAGTTCTTCCTGTAGATTTCCACCAGCTTTACAGAGAAAATACTTTAGCATTGCAATTTTTTTGAACACCTCTCTCTTGCCCAGTTTTATTATGCAAACTTTTTTAACACCCATTTCGACAGCTCTACTGCAAAACACATCATGCTCTCCCCCTGCCTCTCCACTGGTCTGTTTACTGAGAGCCTCTGGGATCTAGCAAGACAAACTAAGCTATAACAGCTTTGCTGGTGGTTCAAATAAGCCAAGCTGACCCTGAATTGTAGTGCCAGATGGAAATCCACATGCTACAGCACCTAATGCAGCTCTTCCCAACTCTAAGTGCAATACTGATGCACATCTCATCGCCAAAGGGTCTGTAAAGAATTCAGGCTGTAGTCCCAAACGATTGAAGAGCTTTACGTTTTTCAGGAAAGAAGGATTTGACACTGAATGAAACAGCCTTAGAGTTCAATTCTACCCACCTCTGAAGCTCACTACTGTGGCTCCTGGGATACACTTTAGATATCCTCTAGTCTCTTTGGTAAACAATTAGTATCATGGACAACAAAACACCGTGAAGACACACTAGGAAAAACAGTGGTACTATAAACAAAGCAGCAAGATGTGTATAAAAAGCGTACCTAAACACAAGTCTCATGCTGAGCCCACAAGCAAGTCCTTGAAAACCAGGCTCTGCAACAACCAACCCCCCCAAGACAGAAAGTAAGAGATGCAAGGGCAGCCATGCTACACTCGTACTTCTCAAAACACTGGAAAATTATTTGTTGGCTGTTAATTAGACAAAGTCACAACACGGGATGTCTGGCTTCCAAATTTACATGCAATCTTCCATTAAAAAGGCCAACACTTCTGTCAGCTTAGAAGATCCCATCTATGCCAATTATTGCACTAAGTGTTCACCTTTGATTGGAAAAGTTTTCCGGTGAAATGGGACCTCAGACTAGTCACTTTTACATTTCTTTCTGAATAAACGTACACCGATATGCAGCCAAATTTTACAAAAATGGTGGTGTCATGCTCCATGCCCCATTTCCCACAGCATGCTTGTTTCCCCTCATCATCTGTTCAAAGCATTCCAGCAACTCTGTGCAGTTAGGCAGCAAAAGGAGATACAAGCAAGACAACCGTTTCTCATGCTGATGTTTCATGCTCGTCACGTGCAATGGCGAATCCGAACGTCATGCAAGATGAACAGTCGGCAGGCACAGAACAGAAAAACGTATCCCAAAATGGGAGAGCTCAAAACATCCACTGTGACAATGTCACTCCACTCAGCTTGGGAAACTGGAGGATTATTTTCTCTACTGCGTGTAAGCGGACGCTGCACCGAAACTCCTTGCTCAGTAACAGCCAACGCCAACGGCCGCCCGGCCACCCTGTGCAAGAGCCTGGCCCGGACCCTGGGGGCCCCCGTGCGGTGCGGAGCCCCCGGCCCCCTCCCGGCCCTCATGCCCAGAGCAACGGGAGGAACCACTGCCAGCTGCTATTTCTGAGCTATTTCAGCAATTTAGGGTGGTCACTGCTGTTAGAACGAAAGTTAAGTACTTTCATCCCAGAGCCGTGTATGATCAGAAACAAGAGGAGACTTTTCAAGTGATTTTACAGAAACTGTAATGCAGAAATTGCAGAAATTTCTGCAAAATGCAGAAATTGCTAGTGTCGTCTCATTTTCACCTCAGTTCTAAGGAAACCACTGCAGCACCTACAGTGTCTGCCTCCAAAGCTGAAGAATGTACTAAATGAAAGCTGGTATCGTACAGACACAGAAGAAATGCGTTTGTTTTTAACAGACAGCAACCACTATTGTTCAGATGGATTCCAGCCTCCCCTCTAAACTTTCTTTTTCAGTTGCTTATCCAAGCTAGTCAGGTGAGGAGGCACTAGGGAGAAGGGGACAGTAAACATATTCAACCATTTAAAAAAAAAAAAAAAAATTA